GAAAAATATATACATGTTCGTGATAATTTTTTTACTAAACCAGTAATTTTTAATTTATCTCGAATTTGTATTTGATGTGTGCTCTGTCAACATTGCTAACAAAAATATATTTGTTTAACGCTGTATCGAACAAGTAGTGAATACTATTTTTTTTCAAATGAGACTGTATAATTTGTCTACAATAATTATAAAGTTCCAAGAGGTTACCTTAATTCTATTTTATACTAAAACTAGTATCACTTCAGTTAGAATAGCTGACAACTTAATTTCGCAATCGCCCCAACATAATAATGATATTTAATTCTACAACACCCAGCGGTATTTAACAATCAGCTACTTGATGTTTTTACAAAGGGTGGTCATTGATCGTCACCCTCATGAATAATAATGAAAATGTTAAAATCAAATGGAATCCGAGCGATGTGAAAAAATGAACATTCTATGCTGAAGCTCGTGTTTTTCGTAAAAGTAATCCTACTAATTATAACATTAAAGCATTTACCGCTGTAAAAAAAAGTACAGAAAAAGTGTAATCATGCAAAAAGAAATTATGTAATTCAACAAAAGTCTGCCTCACAAAAATCATAAACGTAATAACAAATTTTATCCACAGAGAGCTGTTTTAATCATTTCTTTGCAAAATTCCCAGTAATTTAATTCATCTTATTGTAAGCAAATTTTAAGGGCGATGTGGATTATTTACAAAGTAAAGATCTTGTCATCCAAGTTTGAATGTATTAATTTATTCTAGAAATAATGATGTCAGTGCCATTATTCTACCACAGGACATATTTTATTGAAACCTTAATATTAAGAGAATTCGATTTACAACTATCTTTCCAAAGATAGTTTTACTAAATTTTCAACTATTTTCATTATTATTTATTTTTTTTCCTAGGATCTATTTTTCCGTTGCTTTGTATTATGTACTTTCTGGTTTTATTTATTCACAAAAATGATTGAATTTTTTTATTTGAAACAATGGACAGGTCAAATCAGGTCAGATTAGATGAGGTCGGGTCAGGTTATGTCAGGTTTGTATGTGGTATTTTTGCTCACTTGTGGACATTTTTAGAACTCGGGCTCTTTTCTCGTGAGGCTATATAGACGCGGCTATTTTGTCGGGGTATCGTTTTCTTGACTTCCTTCTTGCTTAGTCCAATACTATTGAAAATAGCAGTTGACTCAGCAAATCCCTGTTTTACTCCCTTTTTGTTTTAAATTCTTCAGATTTTTCTTTGTTGGTTCCGAATACGTTTGTGTTCTGTTTGTACATTTCTTTTATAGCTTTATTATTCCTTTATTCATTTGTCTTTTTCTTGAGATTTTCCATATGTCTTCTCTTTTTATTCGGTAAAACGCTTTTTTCAAGTTATGTATCGTTTTCTTCTTGTTTATAGACATTTCACTGGCTTGCCTGAACACAAATATTAAGTCCTGAATGCTTCTTCCTCTTCTAAACACACATTGAGTGCCTTCTACACTAGTTTCAATATTTTCTCTAATTCTTCTCTCCCATTATTTTTGCCAAGAGTTTTCCGGGAATATTTGGTATTGTGTGACATTTATAATTATTGCAATCTCTCTTATCTTTTTTTTGTTTAATCCACTCTTTTGTTAACTTTATTTCCTGTATTATCTCATGCATTAGCTTGTTTAATTTTTCTTTTCGTTTTTCGATTACATATAAGTATTTTCTTATTTCTGAGGATTTATTATCTTTTCCAGGTACTTTCCCTAATTTCATCTTTGATATGGCTTCTGATAATTCTTCATATTGCACTGTTTCTATCTCCTGTCATTCATTCTGCTTCTCGTGCTCTTCCACTTCATATGGATCATCCTCCGTCAATGTTTTTATCGTCTATCCATTACGTTCTCTTCACCTGTGAATATATTTCCATCCTTGTCTTTTATGTTAGTCATATCTTATTTCTTCCTTTGGATGCCTTATAATTTTCTGCTTGATTTGTATTTATATATCTCCTATTATCAACTATTATTTTTCTTTTTGATAATTTGTTTTATTTGTGGGGTTCACCATTCCGTTCATTTTATCTTTTTGTTTGTTATTTTTATAGTTCCATAGCTCTTTCTTGCCACATCCAGCAAGCTACTTTTGAAGTTGTTCCATTTTCCTTCTAAATGTTCTTTCTTCAAGCTTATAACTATTTATCGTCTGCCTCAATATGTCTTCTTTTTACATTTTTTTATCTTCGCCTTGCCCATTTTTACCAAATAGTGCCCACTTCCTATATCCATTTCTCTTATACTATTGATTTTTCATTTTTCTACGTAATGCTGCCGCATACTTGTCTTGTCTTTGTGTTTCAATTTAATGTTTCTTATTAATAAATCATTTTCCATACAAATTTCAATCATTCTTTCTCCGTTGTTGTTCTTCATTTCTTTTCTTTCTCTCCCTAAAATTTCTTCTATGTGTGTATTATGGTTTCGCATTCTGCCATTGAAGTATCTCATTATTTTTATCATTTTTCCTCTCCCACACCTATTGCTTGTTGCGCCATACTTATTTTTAGTTTCTTTTGTTGTATCTTCTTTTTCTACATAAGCTATTATCATTGTCCAATTTTCTTGTTCAAATATCTTAATTTTTATCTTTGACGTTCTTTCATTTATATGGCCTTCTTAAAATATGTCCTTTAACTTATCTGGTATTATTATTATTATTCCTATCCCTTCTTCCGCTTCTTCTTTTTGATCTACTCCTGTCCGGAATATCCAATATACTTTATGTATTCTTCTCATACCTCTTTGTTTTTGTTGTAATGCAATTCCTAGTATCTTCACTTGTTGTATCATGTCCTCCACCAGTTTCTTTTTGTTTCTTTTGGCGTTTTCCTTTAATCTGTCTTCTTTTACGTCTCGAGCGTAACCTAAGGAAGAAAAAGAAGTCCATCGGGCAAGTGACTACTTTCATGTTTTTTCGACGTTCAACTCCTAGAGTACGAAAAAAGAGGGTTTCCCGTTTTCGTCCGTTTCTCTGTTTGTTTTATTAGCCACAGATAGTCTCCGAAACCACGGCACCGATTGTTGTAAAATTTTGTAATAAAGGATTTCTATAAATGATTGTAGGGTCGAAGTAGGTCACGAAAACGTGCCGTCTCTCATATTTGAACTTTACTAAATGCCCAAGGACGCATGACAAAAACCACACGCATCTGTATAACTGATTGCCTAAATGTTTCATATTTTATTAAAAAATAAAACTAATTCATTACAAACATCGTAGTAAATGTTGAAAATGTTCACAATTTTGTTCAAGCCACATGTTCACTGTCTTTTTCATTTCAAAAACGTTCTGTAATCCTCTCATCAATACCTATTGTTCAATTTCATGTTGCAGATGAAACTCGTACATGTTTGCGGATTTGGCTAGATATTCTTGCTTACAAGCGATTACAGAAAACACCCACTCTTCCTTTACGAATGTCCCATGGCGATAACAAGACATAAACAATGAAAGTGTCTTGTTCAACAGATTAAACCACTTTCACGGTCTTCGCTTCGTAGCACAAAAACAGAATTTTCGTACGCAAGCACCAAGAGTTTTAAAAACGACTGTTTTGTTGTTTTGAGCTTCGATCAACGAGAATTAGTGTAATTCACACTTGAAAAGCGTTCAAACAATAAAAAGGATGACTTTAAATGGCAAATTACAAATGACAAGTGAGAACTCTGATAATGAGGCATAATTTCAGTGAAGCGGGATTTTTGAAATCCATGGCCAACTACGCCCTTAGAATCATTTATAAAAACCCTATATATTAGAAATTTCATGTAGATCGTCAGTGGTTCGAGCCCATCGCGTTCCTATTTTTTTTTTATCAAATTGAGAACGGTTTACCCTATTTTCTCATAATAATACCAGCCCCTTACCCAAAATGGTGTTCGAACTGTTTTGTTGTAGCTTAATTAATTAACCAGTTCTTTTTAAGGAGACAAAAGGGGCAATTCTGAATCGAAGTTGTTAAATTTAAAGGGTGTTAAATTGCAAATTTCCATAGTAACGAGTTAAATTCGTAAATCTGATTGGCTGTTTCTTTTTTAACAACCTTTAAATTTTAACGGGTTTGATTCAGAATTGGGCCTATAATCAATCAAATTTCATTTTCTTTTAAGAGAAACTCATGCAGCCGCTGATGACTGGTAAATATATGAACGTGCTACTCGTCCAGTTCTTTGGTAATAAAAACATAAACACTTGAAGTTAAACATGTCGTTATTACTGAAAGGACATTTTCTCTTTGATTATCTGCTTTAAATATATCTTATATTCTCGGCACTTGTGCAGATCGCGCCCTCTTGAAATTTGGCTCTCCATGGTGCGGGTGTTTTATACGTCATTGGTTTTATTTTATAGAAGTAATTGCAAAACAAAAATCACTAAATCAAATTTGAACTTTGACCATGCACTCCTTTGCTTGTATGTTCTATTTTTTGTATTTAATTTTGACTTCACTTCCCTTACTATTTTCCTGTGCCACTATTTGTCTTATTTTTTGTTGTATTTCGAATGCCGTTTTCGTTATTTTGCGTTTTTCTACATATTTCCTAGCTCAATGTTGCAGATTGTGAGCCCTATCTCGATTGTCTCTTTGACCTCTACTCTTACGCCTATTTTTCGTATCATGAACGTTTCCACTGCGTTTCTTAATTCTTCTCTGTTGTTTGTATCTACGTTCTATTTCTAAGTTCTAAGTTTTCCTTCCCATATTGGTTATATTATTCTCCATGCTCTTTTCATGCACTCTTCTTTTATTGTTTATTTTCATTTCTCAATGTTGATTTTCTTTTGATACTTTTTTCATCAATTCCATCATCAATCCTGTCAATTTATCCATTTTGCTTCAATGTTCTTCGTTCTTCTTTGTGGTTCTTATTAGATTTTTAGTCCTTTTGAAATATCCTCCTGTTCTTTACTCTCTCTTTTTTTTTGTTATTGTCAGAGAAGTATTCATCCAGTGGCGGCGTAAAAGAGAGGTCGGTGGGGGCTTCTTTTTTTTTAATTAATTCATTTAGTTTTCTTTTCACGATTACTGAAGAGCATATTTCACATGGTAATTTCTCGTAGAAAAATAAGGTTTTTACAACTAAGCTCCGCCCCTCGACTTACGACGAATAAAAAAAATCATCTGAATTGAGATAGGGCGGGTGGGCGGGGCTTATATTTAGCCCTTTTGTCTTAATATACATAGCCATCTTTTCATAACAAAAAACTTAAAACATGGTTAAAATGGTTTTGCAAGGAAATATGGATTTTGCAATTATGAGGTGGAGTCTAATTGCAAAATCGATATTTCCTTATACAAATTTTCCATTTTAAACATGTTCTAAGTTTCATGTTGTGAAAATAAATCTACACATATTAAAACAAAAAGGCAAAATGTAAGCCCGCCTACCCGCCCCACCTCAATTTTGATGTTTTTTTATTCGCCGTGAACCAAGGGGACGGAGCTTAACTGCAAAATAATTATTTCTTTACTAAAAATTTAAAATATATTTTTGAATATCGTGTTGTTCAAAGAATACTATGTATATTAAGAAAAAGAAGCAAAATATAAACCCCGCCCACCCCGTATCAATTGTGATGATTTTTTTTATTCTTAGAAACTTAAAACACGTTTAAAATGGTAAATTTTTGTAAAGAAATATCGATTTTGCAATTATGCTCCACCCCTAGATCTACCAACGAATGAAAACTTCATTATTATTTAGGTCAGGGGAGATGTGGGTGGGATTTAGTCTTTGGCTTTAATTTTTTCTTAATATACACACCATTCTTTGAATAACAGGGTAGTTAAAAAAGTGTTTTACACCGTAATTTCTTTTAGAGAAATAAAAAGAATTTTGTATTTAAATTCCGCTCCTTTGGGTCTCGACGATTAAAAAAATGATCACAGTGGAGATGGGGCGGGTGGGAGGGCGTTATATTTTTCCTTTTTTCTCAATAAAACAATTCTATTCGACAAATATGGATCTTGCAATTAATTTTATTCTTTAAACAACACGATACTCAAAAACATGTTTTTAATTTCTCGTAGAGAAATAAGAATTTTGCAGTTAAGTTTCATCACAATTGAGACAGGGTGGGTGAGCGGGGCCACATTTTTGCTTTTTTCTTAGTGTGTATAGAGTTATTTCGGCAACAAGAAACTTAAAACCGCCCTGGGTGCCAAACCACTCTACGCCGCCACTGTATACATCCATCTCCCTTTTATTATCATTATTTTAAATATTTTGTATGGTAAGGTTCGGTTACGACCCATAAAACTTGGTTATATTTGCAAGGTACAAATATCTCTATTAAAACAAAGTCAAGTCAGAAAAATGTTAGGCCAAAAGACCGTCAACTAATCTATAAATGTAAATAAAACACTTGTGCCACACAAGACTTTATCTAACATCTTTTAGTAACAGCTTAAAATGTGTTTAAAACTTTTTAAAAGACAGGGTGATTACAAAATATATTGTGTAAGATTCCTCAAGCAATATTATATTTGACTAAAGATCTGTTATATAGTGGTCATAACCTGAAATGTAGTACGAACTATGTGATTTTTTTTGTAGTTTGCAACTCTTCTTCACCAGTGAATAAACAGTTCCTTTTCTAACGATATTCACTCCGAAGGTGAACATCGAAGTCCTCTGTTCTATAGATTGGGTTCGATTTCTAGCGGTTTCAATTGTAATGTAGAGATTAATCGCTGCTTCCAATTCCGGACTCCCGGTTTGCAATATTTTTTCTTTGTTTCCTTGGTCCTTGGTTCCAGGCGTGATCATGCATTTACATCATCTCGCAGGATACCTAATTTACATTTAGCTGCTTGTTGCTTAAGTTCCGTTATGAGCTGTTCTAATGGCGGCCTTCCTTGTTGGAAGGATAAAAACTTGTATCCTTCAAAATTAAATCTTCCTTATTGAGTGATAAAAAAACAGTATCGTAAGAGTCCTTTGCCTATTTATTTTGTATGATATTATATGAAACATTTTGATTAGAAAAATCAGAGGATGTGTAAGCATCATTAGTTGACAAACCCTTTGTGGATTCTCTATGTATAATCTGTTTCCTGTGAAGGCAACAGTGCAAATAATTTCATTATTAGTCAGTTGAAACGGAACTGCCTATATCTCCCATCCCCGGATCTACGTTGATAAAGAAAACACAAAACTGCTTCAGTGCCCACAATATTTTTATCAAGGTGTTGAAATTGATGTTGATACTCCGCGATGACAAATGCATCTAGGGTATCCTCCCCCGGGCTCTCAAGTGGCGCCGTCCCCGCGACCAGCCAGCAATAACGATGTGTTTCCAGGTCAGTCTAATCACTTTGTTAGAATATTTTCAGCGTTTTCGAACGGCAGGCGGTTATTGTCGAGAGGAAGCAATCAATCGGAATTGAATTGCTTACATGGGATTAGATTTATCAGCGTGTGTTACGTCATGTTCGGCCATAGGTTTATGAGTGGGATGCTCTTTCCATCAATTAATTCCTTGGATTTGATCGACGTGAGTGAAATTCGATTTTTAGCGTGCCGGCCGTCCGTCTAGATAAAAACTTCCACTGTTAAAAGTTATTGTGTGTGGAGCTACGTACCTATCGCAAAAAGTTCGATACTTTGCGCGAATTTAATTAAATTTCGTTGATATATTTTCGGCAGGCGACAGCAGATAACCCGCCTGTGCGAAATAAACGAAATTATTTCGCTTATTCGAAGACAGCGGTTTCGCTTTGTTGCCTACATAATTTTTATTTTTAGTGGGTTCTGAAGTACACGAGCGCGATCATAATTGGAGGGACAGTTTGCGTGGATTCTTTCCTTTTTGTCAGCGGGATGCTTGTCAGTTACGGCTTCTTTGAAACCGTTACGAAAAATAAGAGGTTTAATGTGGTCCTTTTTTACGTTCATCGCTATATAAGGATCACTCTTCCTCTCTCGGTGGCCGTCATCGTTTATTCCTCTTTCATCCAGCATTTTGGATCGGGGCCTTTATGGCGTGAAACCTACCTTGGGATGCAGTTGCCATGTCGACGCTTCTGGTGGAGCGCACTCCTCCACGTCCAGAACTACGTCAATCCCAACTTTTTGGTTAGTTTTAAAGCACGAAAGTCGAACAATACTTTTTGAAAAGAGGAGCTGGAACTGGGGCAAGATAAAAGCAAATCGAGCCACATTTCGAAGCGGAAGCCTAACAAAAACCGAAATGTTATCAACACTGTTTCTAGTTTAATGAAGGATTACTTTGCAAGAACTTAACTTTGCACAAAGTTGCAGCGTTTGTTAATGGAATTAAAAATGGTATACATTTTTAATGAACAAAGCGTACTAAATCTTACCACAACACTTGGTACATTTTGATAAAATTAAAAAAGGGGTCAACGGAGCCTCCGGAAATATGCTGTCTGAGCTATGAAAAAACGGAATAATGTATAAGTATTATACAATAATAAGCAGAATTTTGAAATAATAAAGCAAGGTGGGAATAAAAATCTATATTCCTCATTTTATCCAAAAGTTTATTTCATTTTCAACTTCATTTCAACAACATTAATCACCAAATATTGGAGACTGCTTACTAATCGATTATTTGTTTGTGACTTGTAAAAGTTGTGCTTAAGTACAACACGTTAAAATTAAAGTTTACCTACCTTCCCCTACTTCTTGCAGGAGTTTGGTAGATTCGTATCATCTTGTTGACGTGACATTTAATTAAACTCTTGTTAAGTTTGATTTGGCTAGTGGCATCCATGTTTATGTACACAGATCGTGCCATTAGTTCTAACAAGTTGAAATGTACAGAAGTCTAACCCTCCACTATTAAGATTTAATTTGGTAAATTAACCTAGTTTTAAATGTTACGTAAAAAATATTTACGTATTTATTTATTACCATTTTTGCCTAACAGAACAATCCGTACAAGGCAAAATCGATGAAAGAACGACGACAAACATTATTGATTTCAGATAACAGAAATGGAAAGAAAACTCTGAAATAATAAAAAGATAATAATAATATGAAAATTTAAACTGGAACATTTTCCGAGAATTTAACGTTTAATCAAAAAGTTAACTAAGCCTGAAAAAGGGGTGAAAAAGAAATCTATGGATTCAAGTTATAAATTGACCGTCATTTTTGCCGTTTTTTAACGGAATTTTAAATTTTCAGCTAAATTCACATTACAATTTTAAAGTTTAATATCTTAAAAAATTTGGTTCCGATTTTTTAACCATTTTTTTTCTAGTTCTGAGAGCCTTCTTAACAACGTACCATTGAACCTGTACGTGATTTTTTCATCACCCTGTATAAATACCTAAAACTTTCATTTTCAATTAAGCAGCTTTCAGACGAGAGAATTTTTTTTTTTATTTTAAAAGTAATTGACTGATTTTGTGTAATTTACTGAAAAGAGTTATTTCTCCCAAATAAAATAGTTTACATTTACTACGCAAAATTTTGAGGTGACGTCATCAAATTCCTAAAATACATATAGAATTTGACAATAATCGGTTCGACAGTTTCGGAGATTATTTAGCTAATAAAACTCGACACAGACAACAAACAGATGAAAACGGGGGACCTATTTTTGCATAGTCCAGGTGTCATCAAACGTCGAGCAAATACCAAAGTAGCCATTTGTCGGATGGATTCTGTTACAATACTGCCTGGCTTACACTTGGGATGTAAAAACAATGGTCTAAAGTTATTTACACAGAATTCCCCTCGCCCTGGAAATCCGGACAATAAAACAAGTTCAGTTTCTTTGTAAAATTATAAAACTTCACATTCATAAAGTATATTGTGGTTTATTAATTTGAATTTGAAAAAAAATTCAATAAAAAAAAATCGTCAAACATTGGCAACCATGTGCACGTAGAGTTCTTTGTGGTAGTTGGTAGTTCTGCTAAGGAATTTTAGTGAGAGGATTGGTAGAAGTTGGCTGGTTTGGTAGATGCGTCATTCTGTTCGGTGGCGTCACTTTTGGTTTGTGTCTTGTGTGTGAAACCACGTGGTGAGTAAGCTAGGTTAGGTTTAGTTGGCCTGGTAGTTAATAAAAAAGGGAGAGCCTTTGTTTAACGACAATTAATCGTAACGACAACGACACCACAGTTTCCCCAACACGCGTAGATAATCCTTGCGTTTGTTTTCCAAGCGGAAATATGCGGATTTTCGACCGACGCTAACATGTGGTGTAAATTTGTTTTATTGTTTGTAAACTGACAGTTCATGTTAGGATTTCAATCGTTAACTGGTTCTAACACAATTTAACAGTCGGGGGTTGTTTAGAAACAGCACTTGATAGGAGATTTCGTGAAATTTACTTAGTCAGGAATAAGGCTTATGGATACTTGTACTTAAGTATTACATTATAACACTCCTTAATTCCTCACACAAGATTGCTAATAGTTCATTAACGGCAGTTAAATTAACCTAACGTTGCCCCACTCTGGAAAAAGACCGTGGAAAGTGCGGTAGAATTCATAATATCGTGGACTGAGGTACATCACCGAGAAGCTTTTCTCGCAACACCTGATTTTGTGTTGTTTATTTATCATGTGTTTTGTTTGGAATTAGCTGGGAACAGTCCACGATATAAACTCTCAAGCTAATGGTTTTAAGGAACCAGTCAATTGGATCAAGTCATAATTTAATATAATGTAAATTCTTTGTTTGAGTCGTTGATAAAGTGTGACATAATTTAACATAATGTAAATTCTTTTTTAGAATCGTTGATAAAGTGTGGCAGAATTTAACATCAGGTAAATTCTTTGTTTTGGCAGCGGCCATGTTGAAAGTGTATTTTCAAACCGAGCAACTGTTTGAACTGTAAAACCTCGTTGAACAAACTAACAACATTGAGGGTCATGTGGGACGTGCATTTTATTCCTTTGATTTAGTTAGAACATTATTTACACAGCTCCACAGGATTGATCGCATTTCTGAAAGACATATTTTTGACGCATTTCTTGAACGACGCATTCGTCCGACACTATTTTGAACCTCCAGATTTTCTGCTATGTTTTTTGTGTTTGTTTGTGGAATGTAAAACAATGGCCCACATTGCAGCTCAATAACTTCACTTTTAAAAAATTAACCAATAACGCGAATGGACATAAAATATTAATCTCACGTAATTTTGTAAGCTTTGCAATTTTTCACCACATACAATTTTTTTTTTCTCACAATTTTAGCCTCAATAATTTTCTTTGTTGTATAATTTAAATTGAACGTAAATTTTCATGCTCTGCAGTTCCAAACCTCACGTAATTTTTGTCTACACAAGTTTGATTTCACACCAGATCTTTTTTGTTTTTATTTTTCTATAAATCTTTACTAGTTTTTTTTTCATGTAAATATTTTGTCGATTAATGCTTCCATTATATGAATTGTCTGATCTCCAATCTTAATCTCAGATAAGAATTCTTTGCTATTTAAAACAAAAATTCAGGAGAGTATATGGCGAATTCAAATGTTGTTTATTGCTCTTTTTGAAACTTTAATACTTATTGTAATTGATATCAGAGTTATAGAAACTGAACATTTAAATGGAATTGTGGTAAATAACACAGAAACACGTGGTGGAAACGGAGTGCGCGGTTCCTTGTTGAGCTGGAGGTCGCGCCATCTGCACAAAGGATGCAGGCCTAGAATAGGTCCATAGCCGGGACCCAACCACGAGTTTCTTTCAATTTTTTTAATTTTTTCATATGTCAATTTAAGGCGTAACGTTTTTTTAACACCATCAACTCAATTAATTTAACATTGATTACAGTACGACTGATTATTATCCTTGTGGTATAACAAAACACCTAATTCATCCTTTCTTTTGTTGCCAGAATCATGACTAAACTACACTGTTCTGGATATACATTGCGTTGTGTGGTAATTGAGCAACGTAATTTGATTCTAGTTGATAATTACGTGTAGAAGTGATGAACAGAAAATAAACAAACAATTCGCTGTGATGTATCCAACGATATGTGCTTGACAATCATGCAGGTGCAGCAGACGGTTAAATTACTATATGAACACATAAAATCCGTCCACTAAATTTATTCTATTGAAATACAACTTTTAGGAAACAATATGTGTTCGAGCTAGTGTATACATTTATGCCATAAGCTATTGGAGAAAATAATATTACGTTGAGAATTTGCTCAAACCTAAACGTGTCCCGGCGCATTCACCATTTCTACGGTACTTTTGAAATACTTTAGACAGAAAATTAAAAGCAAAAAGAGACTTGCTCGCCTGAAACGCGCAGCTTGGTTTAACAGCTGGCTAGATTGCGAAGACAGGGTAAAGGGTATAATATGCGCCAGGTTTTTTGGTATAGAAATATGGACTCTGTATGTTATTTGTCGACTGCAATTTCAATTGAAAAATAAATCCACGTACTTGTCCTCCAGATTTTGTGTTTGCTCTGTTTAAAAAAACCACAACGTAGGGTGTCACTTTTGAAATAAACATAATTTAATTCTAGTTAACTGCATGCAAATTACAGTAACACAGAACCAGCAACAAACGTTAGATGTGGTGCGTTTGACATATTTACAGCTGCAACAGACGTAACTAAATTATTTTATCAACCTTAATATCATCAAATTTGATTAGACAATGCACAAGCTTCAGGAAACAATCACGAATGACAGGCTACTAGGTAAATTTATAATGTAAGCTAAAATTTTAATTAGTTTGCTAACTATAGACTGATTTAACAGACACAAAACAGAAAACTAAACAAATAAACTTGTTGTTGTATGAACGATTCTGCTGACGCACTTTTGTATTAAGAAGTTAAAATTCATTTGGCATTAATTTCATAAAAGATCTTGGACTTTTGTTTCAACGATTACTTTGCGAACAATTTTCTAAGTATTTAAATTATAAAAATAACATTGTTATAAACTTTTGACGGTTAAAGGAATAATTTCGTTAAGTAACTTGATACACCATCGCCAAGCTTTCATTATTTACCAGTTTACAACGTAACCGGAGAGAATTTAATATCATTCATTCTACATGGAAAACATAACTCAAACTTCCTATGAAATCCGTTCCTAGCTTTTCAAACAAATCTAAAATGAAAAATAAAAGCGTTACTAACTCACAATGCAACAACGTACAATAGCTAAATTAACCGTCGTGTGAAGGCACGCAGAACTCTATTTTTCGAAACGTATTGTTCCATAGCTTTGTTTTAAACGTACGTTAAATTGACCAGTTTCCAGTGCATACCTCAAACGTGGTATTTAACATGTGAAATGCTTTATTATTACTTTTCGCCAATTATTCTATACCCGTTATGGAAATGGCCACTGGTGGGTTCCATAAATTTAATTGTTGTATATATTTTCTCGGTTGGAATTAATTTTTATTTGGCTTGGGAGAACGAGTATCCAGGTGGAATGCCTCTAACGTAAGTATTCCATTTCTATGATAGTGTTCCAAAAAAATGTATGTGTCACTTACGCGTTTAGAGCAACCAAGAAGGTGTAAGTTTCCGTTAGCTTTACAAATGTATTGTCGAAGTAATAATCTCATTTATGAAATTTTTTGCGAGCTCTCGGAAATGTAAAATAGATTCGGATCACGTAATCGTTTCGGCCTAGTATTCTCAGCTTTGTTCCCTTTCAGCTTATTTGCGGTCAATTTGCTCGAACCAGATTTTACTTTGCATTCAGATTTTGGATATACTTACTTTGGAGTCCAGTTTCTGCCCGAGTAATCACCGGAAACCCGATTAAAATGTGATTTTTTCAGGAAGCAGCTTTTCGAAACAAGATATTTCCAGCGACATTATATAGCTCCGCATGTTAGAGCTTCGCCCTACGTAATAGGATTAGGTTTCGGATATACGATATTCAAAACAAAAGGAAAAAGAATCGAGACGAGGCCCGGAATCAACGTATTCGGCTGGATAATAACAATAATTTTGATGTGTTCTGTTGTTGTGGGTTCTCACGTATTTCAAGAAGAAAATCACGATTACAATCGTATCGAATCGTCGCTGTACCTTTCTTGTTCCAGATCGGCCTGGGTTTTAGGGATCGCCTGGATTACGTGGGCCTGCGTTCATGGATACGGAGGTAATAGAAATCATTTTTTCGCGCCATCTTCCTGCCCACATTTAATCATGTTTCAACAAAACAACAGTAAATCTCCGCAACAATGCCGAAAAAAATTTCATCAGCTTGTTTAATACCACGTTTTTTAAGGCTTCGTAAACGACATTTTATCCCTGCACGTATTCCGTATACTGGGCAGAGTGGGTTACGGCGTTTTCCTTTTTCATATGTGCTTTCAGTTTTTAAAGGACGGATCAGCTAAAACGCCTGCCTATTTTTCAGACTTCCACATGGTGAGCCCGAACGGATATAATTTCCACTTTATTAACATTTTACGTTTAAGCTGTACGACTGCTTCGGAGATTTAGTGATAATGATAGTCGCAGGAGCACTTTTCGCCCTCTGCTTTGAATATCCTTGTTTAACAATCGAAGCCGTGCTGCTGAGGAGAAAAACGTAAGATTTTTATTCAAACAGACTATCTCCAATCTCCCATAAAAGCCGATTTTATGCACAAATGTCTGTAATGTAGAATAAAATGGGGTGGCTTTTGTCATTTTTACAATACACGCTTTTCCACTAGAATTCACACTAACATTTTACTTCTTTTCAGATAGATTCATCTGATTAAGTTTGTTTAAAATTGTTCGCCGTGAATTTCTTTTTGTTCATTTTGAGTATTATAACCACCAACAATGAATCAAGAACAAACTTCCGCTTTCAATTCCTTTTTCGCTGAATTCAAAAGTTAAGTGTTCGGAGAGGATGAGTCGATAAGATACACCGATGCCGCCTCAAGGCGGTTTGCTGTGAGCAAACTTTTTTTCAGAATAAAGCGAAATTAAGTGGTTAAACGCACTCACAGCGTGAACAAAGGTGACATGCGAAACAATAATAAAAACACCGATAGCTATCAACACATATTTTATTATTAAAAAGAAGTGCGACAACTCACGAAATTATCGCTTTTGAATACTCCAAACCAAATCTCGCACTAGTTGTAGAAAGTCAGACAAGAATGAGACATTTTCGATTGGTCGATAGACAGCTCTCGCTCTTACTCCCACCACTTAAGCGCTTCGCAGCAGCTAATGAAATTGAAGAACGTGAAAATTAGTTAGCGGTGTGGATGGGGAGGCGGGGCTTTCTCGATCACTTAACTAGGAACTATTAGCTTTAGGTTACGATAAAGAGACCTTTATTGTGCCTTTACACAATCTATACAGAACCTAATTTACACTTGTCGTTAGATTTATCTTAATGTCACTCGCGTAACGAAACACTGAATTCAATTAATATCTCAAGAGTCATTAAATACTTACAATAATAAGAGGGATCATGTCAGTCAGAATAGGTTAGCACTTTGGGCATTTAGTAAAGCCAAAAACTGAGAGGCGGCACGTTTTCATGACCTACTACGACCCTATAATCATTTATAAAAACTAATGTCTATACGTTAAAGCTAGTCTTACTACTTTTTATGTATAGTTTATGTGTTAACATCTCCAATGAAAGCACGTTTCTGTTGCAGGTCCAAAGTCGCCACCATCCGCTAAGCAAGAATGAGCCCCTGATTGATTTTTGCCCCTTTAATAAATAATGCGCATTATCTTAATGTCTCCCTGGTGCGTACTTTCCTCCATTTTCCTCTCGTTCCTGCAAATGTAGATTCCGCTATTAAGAAAAAAGGCTCATGGCCCGAATGTTGCGAGACATTAACAAGTCCATACATCATCGATTTTTCTTTTCATAGCTGCTTGATATGCATGTGTACTTCATTAGACTACAATGTGGGGCAATGTCGAATACATTTTGCAAGTCAAATGGGACCACAGCAACATGTGCGCGGATACATTCTGAAACACATTATGCAAATGTGAATATTCGTAAGAATCGCGTGACCTATATGCGACTTCAATCTGTAGATAGATTGTTAAATGGAATGACATTCGGGGACCGTGCCGGTTCACCTCCCGAGATCTGGCCGGGCTAAAAAAAGCGTTGAGGGAAAAGCTCAAGATAATTTAATTAAAAATTAATGAGCACAGTAATTAAATTTTTGTGCTGGAACTTGTTGTGGAATAATACAATTTGATTATGAAGTCATCGCGCTCGCTGAAGACCGTTAAATGTGAGATAAGTACAAAATTACGTTTGGAAGATATAGGCGCTTAAAGTTTTAGCAGTAATTACGAGATGATTGTTTTGGCGAAGACACTTACGGAATTTTTTTATTTTACCAAAAGGCACTTACGTGATGATACGAACCGTAACAGTAACACCCTTAAGTGGACCATCTAAATTTTTTTTTAGTTTAGCACGATATTGGATCGTTTCATGCGGTGTAGTTTAATTAATAAATCGCCGTCTATAGAGAAACTATTCAATTTTTTAGTGTATCCCTTCCAAAAACTTAATGACGTCATCTCAAAATTTCCTGTTTTATTTCAATAGATAATTTAGTCTGCTCTGTATAAATCTAGCAATAAAGAATCCATTAAGAAATGAATTATTTTGCGTCACATGTGCTGGCCATAATTTAATTTAAGTCGATTTGTTTATGCGAGCCCTCGTTTCAATTCGCGATAAATTACGCAAATGCTCGGACATTTTCGTCTGACGATGTTAATATTCCTCGCAGCATGATAAATCCTTTTCTTATTCGCGAATGAATGATAATGGAAAGTACTTCAAACAGAAAGGGAGATATTCTAATCTGGTCTCGATGGATTCCAGTTGAAGACAATTCGGCGCCCCCAAAATTTGGCCATATCAAGGAAAAGCGACACGTCAAACGAAAATGGAAGGTAAATTAGCTTTCGAGTCTAAACCGAGAAATAAATCACATGGGAATCATCTACGCTCTGTGTCTGGGCCGCTCCTCTAGAGATTGGCTGCCACAAATCACACTTTTAACTTAATAAATTCCCGCGTTGCACGCGATACTACTCGAACACGTCGATTTTTTTTAATTATTCATTCGCCGTCTTGTTTCGCAGCTTCACCCCCCAGACAGGGGTGGGAAAGGATTGCTTTGAGAACAAACACACAAAATTAACTAACTTTGAATGTGTTTTGTCTTATCTTTTATGGGGATTTCAACACGCCTTTTCCGAAAGAAAATCTATTAGGAGGAGTTTTGGCCTCATAACTTAAAAGCAAAAGAACAAAGAAACTGAGGAGGAAAAATTAACTGATTAAACTACGACACGAAGTACTTTCAGGCATATTTCAAAACCCTGCTTTCCTACTGGCATGTCTGAAACTGCGTAATAAGCGCCAGTGAAATTTTAGTAAGAACGTTTTCGTGTTTCATACTACATCTATCTAGATCATGAAGCTGTCACGTGGTAAATGTTTCGGAAAAACTCTCATCAAGGTTGTAGAGATGTAAATAGGAGGATTCTTTTTACTTGTGACATAATAAATTTCAGGAAATTTGATGAAACGGGAAACTTATTTTAGCTGACATTTTATGTGTGACAGATCGTGCATTAATAAATTATATCTTAATGAAATTACTATTTTTATGCACTGATATTTTTAAAAAATAACACAAGTAAGCAAAGGCAACACGTCAATCTTTTCAGCAGCGGCATAATTACAAGTTATTTAGATGATATCGCTCGCATTTTAAAAATACCATAAATCACGTACATAACATTTAAAACGAATTGAATTTTTATAGTGACATATATTCCATAAAATGGCATTTAAATCGAACCATCAAAAAACTTATTTAGTAAAAACGCAACTAATAAGGCTGTATTGGGTTTGACAGTTAATTTCCTTTGCGTTCAGACGCAGCCAATACCGTACCCATCAACGAATTTTTTCCTCAAAAATTTAGTTATAATGAATTTTTCTACTAATATTTATATTCCCTGTATCATACGTACAGATATTTGTCAATTCCATTGATTCCAAATTATTATGATCAAAATTGTGTCTAAGCTTATTTCGTTTCAAATTCATTTAAAATTTGAGTTCAGTAATTTTCGTGAAATATGTGTATGTGATTCCATTTCTTCGTAATAAATTCAAGCCATTCATTAAACAATTTTCTCAGTGACTCACCGACAAATAACTTCGGCGAACCACTAAAGAATTCCAGGGAATTTCAAAGAATTTCTTTAATTCCAAACTAATTCCAGTAACTGCTTTTTGCGCAAGAACATTTCAAAAATTCCATTTAATGAACGAGAATTAATGTCAAAAATGCTCCCCCAAAACGCATTAAATGGAATGTAATCGAATTCCGATTATTTTCAAAATCATTAATTCCGATAAATTCTAGTTTTTGTATTAATAATTATATCTCGATGAATTCCAAACCCACTAAATGATTTTAAACTGATTCTGGAATGTGTAAAAATATCAATGGCATGGTTTAAAAATACTTCTAATATTTACTATGCATTAATCAATTTTGTACGAAATGTTATGTGAGCGTATTATAGTGCCATAATGAAAGAAAAAAAAAACATATAACAAATTCCAGAGATCTGCAATGAATCCTCCCCAATGCTACGAAGTTCATACAATTTAAATCGAGAAAAAAACAAAAACTTCTCCTAAAAATTATAAAATTTCATTTTGTAATTAATTTTTTTTATGATCCCTATAAGCTAAATTAAAGGATATCTCTCTACTGTTAAAGTAGAGGTAAAAATTGGTTCAAGACTACTTCGACAGAATTTCCCTTCCCCTTGAAATACAATCCAACAAATTCCGATTCTTTGAAAAATTGTAAAAAATTTGTGTTTTCTGATAGCCTTTCCATAGTAAAAACCAGTGGTGTAAATGATACTTCCAACCCCCTGAGAGTGTATTATTTTCAGCGCACATGCTTAACTTCGATTGTTTATGTTTATACACCGAAAGAATGTCACTTAGAAATTTGTTTAATTTGAATGAGTTGTCTCCTCAAAACAGAAGGCTAAAATTATTAAGTAACAATGGAACAAAATGTTTTGAATATGATTATTATTATTCTTATTTGATCGTAATTAAATAAAAACGTGGATATTCTCACATTTTCTAGAACATGAAGTTCTTAATTGGATCATTAAAAAATTGGTCGAAGTATAATCCGACAAATCCATCTCGATAAAAAAATTATAAAATGATTTTGCGATTTTCGTTTTGTGATAACCGCTGTAAAATAAAAACCAGAGTCATAAATATGACCCCTTGTCCTTTAGCACTAGGTAATAGCAATCTGAAGCTCAAGTGTTTATTTATGTTATACATCGAAAGAATGTCACCTAGAAATTAGTTTGGTTTGAATGTGTTTGTCTTCTCAAAACAGGACTAAAATTATTATTAATAAAATCACAATCGAACAAATTATCTGAATATTATAATTTTTATTTTATCACTATTATATAAAGACAAGCATATTCTTCACATTTTTGAGAAAATGGGGTGACTCGTTCTTAATTTGACCAACAAAAAACT